AGGAACATTTATCATAGAAAAGCACTCTTAATAGTTCAAAGTGCAATAATTGGTAAAAGCAAAAATCTTTGAGCTTTTTTTTTCTGATGGATTACGAAAACTGCGTCTGGCAGGAGACTCAACATTGCAGATGGATTACGAAAACTGCATCTGGCAGGAGACCTAACATTGCACTGCAGTGTCGTTTGCTAATTTTTGTCGAGGATAGCTCCCCTTTTCATTCCGAAGCTCTCTATATGACCTCAAAACTAGATAGACGGCATGGTACCTTGGTTGAGGTATGTCTCTCAGCTCTGCTTCACTCTGTTATAATCTTGAATGTAATGTTTAAAGAAGAAGAAAAGAAAAGCTTATTGCTAGGAGGGTGTTTAACCACAGGTTCAGGCATGTGGGTCAATGGTGACAGAGGAGCAGCCTCATGCCATGTTGATACCATTGGAGTATTTTCTCATAGGGTATGACTTGTACAGGCCAACTCAGTCAAATGTCAGCCCACGAAGTCCGTTGAGTCCATTGTGCATAGATCAGGAGCTTTTTTTGCCCGAAAGTATGGGCTTGAAGCTGAAACCAATAAAAACTCGGATATCTCTACAAGCCTAAAAGGAGGCTGCAACTTGTTTGGAAAAATATCACTTTGTGTATATCCCGATTGGTTAAAGGATGATTAGGGGGAAATTTATTAGGGAGTTTGTAGATATGGAAAGAAAGAGGAAACAACACAAGGTGGAAGAAAATTAGAAAAAAAGCAGATATTTGAATTCTTTCATTTATAACAATATAAATAGTAGCTCAGGGAACTTTCTTTGTAAATCCTTGGGATTGTTGTACAACAATGACAGAAGAATAATGGTCGTAATGACAAAAGAATGGACTGTGACTTGTGCACTCTTGTTTTGAAACGATAATATCTTCTAGTTGGCTTCTTATGTTTTTTCATTTTCTGAGAAACTATTTTTTCATTTTCTGGGAAACTAAGTAATTCCATAAACATCAACTTCTTAACATGCATCCAGGGGAAATAAAAGCATAAATGTGTCTATTCAACATTCTCGTAGAGCAGCTTCTTCTCGTCTTCTTCTTAATAAATTATATAAGATTGTTGCATTCAAAAAGAAAAAAAGATTTGTTGGGAGACAGGTATCAGGGAGTGCACCAGGGCATCTCAAAATTTGTTCGGTTTTGCCAGCTAGCCAAAGTTTACAACCAATCACATTTGATGAAGCTGCCAGTGAACTAGTTTGTGTGCCTATATAAAAAAGTTGATTGTACAAATACTTACAAATATAACGTCTTGAGCTCTACAAAGTTTTCATTTTTTTGCACAACTTTGCATATCATGTGTGTGTCATTTAAGAAGCAAGTAAAAATAGTTATTGCAACAATGGCGCTTCATAACTATATTAGGATGCATGATAAGCGTGATCGATATTTTCAAGAAATCGAGGATAATCTAAATATTTTCGTTTATGAAGAGCATCAATTAGAGGACAATGTAGAAGAAGATGAAGCTTCACTGTCACAAGAAGTGGTTGAAGTAAGAGATCAAATTGCGACAAGTTTAATGAACACGACTTAATTTTTTTAATGACTCTGTCAGTTTTTTGAACATGAAATGTACATTTTTGTTCAACAAGTTGCTTACTCATTAATGTTCTTTTTAGTTGTAATTATATTGTGAATGAAGAAATGAAAAAAAAAAAAAAGAATTAATTATCATAAATTTATTGTTAAAAAATTCAAAATCATAACATTATTAGGTTGTTTGGTTAGGGGAGTCGTCCCCTGATTCGAATCATGGTTCGTGGTTCGTTACAGTATTTTCTCTCACAAAAAATACACGTAAATCGAAAATAGTTCTAATCATATGGTTCTAATCTATGAACCAAACGTCTCCTGTGTTTTTAAAGTTAAACAAGTATTTTTAAATATCAAAAATAATTATATATATTTAAGTTTCATATAATGTCTATTTTGGTCATTTTACATATCCACAGTAATTCCACCTCAAAATTTACCAAACGCTATTATACTGATTTTGGAACCAGCACAGCTAATTTACCAAACACTCAGCTACTTCTTAGAACAGCTACTTCTACCTTCAACACAGCTAAAAATACTTTTTCTAAAATCCATAGCACTATTAAGCCATTATAACGTCAAAAGATAAACCGGCTATCTGAAACTAAATAAACACTCCTAAATATCACCAACAGACAAATTTAAATCACCAGCTTGTGAGGTTCATAATGAAGGCAATAAGAAAATATATCACAGAACCACCAATGCTCATCTCATTTTACAATATTAATGTGGAAGATTTAGCAAACAAATTCTTAACCAAAACCATATGTAAACGTGAACTGATTGCATATTTCTTAACCAAAAACTCAATTTCTGACTTGGGAAATCATAGAGGCAATTTTGCTCTTCAAAAAGAAAGAGCTATTTCATCTCACTAAATAGCCACAGCAAAGGTTTGCTGAACAAGTAGAAATAACGCAAGCAAAGGTTCTAAAGATGCTATTTATCACCTAAAACCATATGGTTTCCATATAATAGCACCCAATCAAAATGGTAACTCTTCGTTTCCGTAGGAGCTTGAGGCGCCGGTGAAGATCCAATGTTGGCCCAATCCAAGAACACCCGGCCGAGCCGAGCTGACTCCAAGCATGCCTCTTTTCTGCGGATTTGTGGGCCTGTCAAGGTGTTGCGGTTAATAGTTTTTTCACACCGATTATGTCAACTCGGTTGAAAAAATGAGTGAACCCTGGCCGAAGTACACCCCTAATAATAATATATCACTTGAAAACGGATTTTTTTTCCGTCTTTGACCAGCCTATTGAAGGAAAGTACTGAGTCTTGTTAGTATTTAACGTGCGTAAGAAGTTCCCTAGTAACAAAACATTGTAAAGGAATTTTGAGTTTTTTACTTACTTTTCCCCAGATAAAACGAGGATTTTAAGTTAGTGACTAAACGGCTGCAGCCAGCTAAGGCACAGGGGCTGCAAACCTCGAGCTCAGTATATATATGTGTATGTATGTATATGTGGATATTAAGAATTTACTATTTTGCCCCCTAAAATCTTTTGTAGTTTCATATTTTATGCAGAATGTTTCACAAAATTTCATTTACATCTTTAATTTGATCTAAAATTTATTATTTTACAGAGAATGTTCAAAATTTTAATTCATCCACACTCTTCATTTGACTTCTGTCTTCTAATTATGCATACCCCATTATTTCATATATTTCTGTTTGCTTGAAGAATCGGAACAAACAAAAATTAAGACAAAATGCTATCTAAGCTCATACATTTACAGGGTGTGTGTGTGTGTATTAATAGAAAAAAGAAAGAATTATGAGATTTTCAGTACATATTTCACTTAATTTATTCAAAATTTTGATTTTACTCAACTCCCCTAAACAAATTTCCTTGGACGCATTACTATTGATTTTTGTGGTTGAAGATTCCAACAATTTCTCATTAGTAACTGATAACTCACAGAAATAGAGTTATTTAGCATACTTTTAGGTTTAATATTTGTTTATATTCTCCGGGTAAAATGCCTTTGTGTTAGTATTTCTCCGACTGCCCGTCTATCGTCATCAGATCAAGAGGTAAGCTTCTCTAACCGCGCGATTTTTAGTTTGAACATTTCGATTTTTGGATCTGATTTTTAGTTTGAATATTTTGGGTTTTAGGTTTCTGATTTTCGCAGAAAAATGGCTGAGCATTGTTGAGGGTTCGGTTTGCCGGTATCCCATCTCCTCCTTCGACTGCCCATCATTAGATCAAGAGGTAAGCCTCTGTTTGTTTGTGGGTTTTAGGTTTCTGATTATGGGTTTTGCAGAAAAACGGTTGAGCATTGTTGAGGGTGCGTGTTGATGCTTTCTGATTATAGGTTTCTGATTATGATTGTTTGTTTATGGTTTGAAACTTTGATCCGTGATTGCTATATGTAAATGTAAAAGTTTTGCCAACAAGCTTAAATAAAGGCCCCACGAGCAAATCTCTAAACCACCAAGTCAAACACAAGTAGCATTAGAAAATATGAACTCTCTTTACAAATCCGTGATTGCTATATGTAAATGTAAAAGTTTAGCATATGCTGAAGTAATCACAGAACTTCCATAGATTGCATTGGTTTGGAAACTGCTGAAAAAGTATTAAGAACGAAATAATTATCTCCATAGATTGGACTGAAGCTTGTTGGCATCTATCTGGTTGTTTGTTTTATTTATATAGTTGTAGTTTTTTTATGACCAATTGTTGTTATTTGGAAGATAATGTTACAGGGCAGCATCTTTAATATGTTTCAAAGCAAATTTTTGCTTTAAAAACCTTGATTGTTGAGATGCTCAAAATCGTTATGATGCAAAATGGTTGAATTAAGTGTCAAATTAGAACTTTTTTCAGTGCATGGGACGCATGTATTAATGTTTTCTGTCCTAGGAAAAAAAACAAAAATTTGTAGTGTTATATATATGTTGGAATTTTTGTGAATGGTACATGGATTTGAGCTGTTTGCTTTTGTTTTCTTTTGGGTCCTGAAGCTGAGTTTTTTTCTTTTTTTATTCTGTCTTGTTTTTCCAAACAGTCAACAAGTTTGTAGCTGATTTCAAGTTCTTTTGAGGAACATTTATCATAGAAAAGTACTCTTAATAGTTCAAAGTGCAATAATTGGCAAAAGCAAAACTCTTTGAGCTTTTTTTTCCTGATGGATTACAAAAACTGCATCTGGCAGGAGACCCAACATTGCAGATGGATTACGAAAACTGCAGTGTCGTTCGCTAATTTTTGTCGGGGATAGCTCTCCTTTTCATTCCGAAGCTCTCTATATGACCTCAAAACTAGATAGACGGCATGGTGCCTTGGTTGAGGTATGTCTCTCAGCTCTGATTCACTCTGTTATAATCTTGAATGTAATGTTTAAAGAAGAAGAAAAGAAAAGCTTATTGCTAGGAAGGTGTTTAACCACAGGTTCAGGCATGTGGGTCAATGGTAACAGAGGAGCAGCCTCATGCCATGTTGATACCATTGGAGTATTTTCTCATGGGGTATGGCTTGTACAGGCCAACTCAGTCAAATGTCAGCCCACGAAGTCCGTTGAGTCCATTGTGCATAGCTCCGGAGCTTTTTTCGCCCGAAAGTATGGGCTTGAAGCTGAAACCAATAAAAACTCAGATATCTCTACAAGCCTAAAAAGAGGCTGCAACTTGTTTGGCAAAATATCACTTTTTGTATATCCCGATTGGTTAAAGGATGATTAGGGAGAAATTTATTAGGGAGTTTGTAGATATGGAAAGAAAGAGGAAACAACACAAGGTGGAAGAAAATTAGAAAAAAAAGCAGATATTTGAATTCTTTCATTTATAACAATATAAATAGTAGCTCAGGGAACTTTCTTTGTATATATATATATAGTTTAACCTTCAAAAAAGGATTTTGGGATCCACTAATTAAAGGGCCTTTATGGCAAATGCTTTTGGTCATCTTTCTTGCCCTTGGGATCCTTCCTAATTTCTGTCTTTATCTCTACTCGTGTTTCATATTTTCATAAGCACTTTAAAATATATATATATATATATATATTTGTGACAGCCCACGTGCAAAATCACCGAGTATTCGTAAACATAGCCATATGCTTAAAGGGTTATTTGCATATTTGCCCAATTGCCCTCTATACCTGTAGGGGTTCAGCAACTTGTCCTTTGAAGTTTCAATTTTGACAATTTACCATTTTAACTTGTAAAACAGTTACAATGTGATCTATTTTGATTATGGTTGTGTTAATTTGGCGACCAAAAATCACGTATGAAAAAAGCTTCAACATTCTAATTCAAACAGTAACATAAATTTTTTAATTCCCCAACTCTCAAATTTCTTACGTCCAACAAAAAATCATAGCAAAATTGATGCACATTGCATTTGTTTTTTGCAAGTTAAAGAGGCAAATTGTCAAATTAAAAGTTTATGGGGTAAGTTACTAAACCCTTATAAATTCATAGGGCAAACATGCAAAATACCCTGTACTTTATGGGATGTTCACCCAAATATAGCACTCCTTGGAGAAAGAAATAAATGCTTCAATTTGAGGGCAAGAAAGTTCACATGAGGTTGTTTTCTTGGATTCATCATTTCTTTTCTTTATTCCTATGCTTTCACATGAAGCTTTGATTTCAGATACGCTTCTTTATGAGTTCATAGCAATATTTTCTCAAAACTTAAGAATGCATGTAAATAAATAGTATTTATACATTTATTCATTTGTGAATAAGAATAGTATTTGATTAGTTGAACGCTCCTTAAAACTCACTAGGCCAAACGGAAAATTTTCCTTTAACTTGGTAATAATATGGATAGAGTCAAACAACGGATTCTTGTCCCTTTGTTGGATACTAATTGAGATGAATCTTTGGGCTAACTTACATTTTTATTACTCAAGATGTACTGCAAATTTTACAAGCAAAAAACAAGCCAAATGAGAAGAATGTCAAACATCATTACGCAAGCTTTCAACCAAAAAATGAAAGAAAAGAACAAACAAACAAACAAACTCCAAAAAGAAAAAAAAAATCTCTTCCAAGAATTTGAATTAGGAAACGAGATTTTGGTTTTTTTTTTTTTTTTTTTTTTGTTCACGTTCCTGTGACCCCAATATTTGCAACATTGCAGCTTTCACCAATCACACCAACAGGACTAGGCAGTAACTGAATCAATTTTGGCCTTTTGATTTGTGGCAATAGGCAAATACTCTCCTTCATAAGCTTGTAACATTTTCTCACCTTTTCCTGTCCCAAACAAAATGACCATAGATAAATATCATAGAGCTCATTTTTTTACTACGTCACTAAATTCCAATAAATTTGGAGTAAAATAATAAGCAGTCATTTTCATTACCATATGCTGTTACAGTCTTTTTTTTTTTTTTAATGTGTTAGGTATCGAAACATGTACAATAATTTTCTGTTTTGATGCTGCAAAATTCCTTTGCAGTTCTTGAATTATCTGCCACCACTGATGGCCTAATAGAACTTTCATTTTTGTCACTTCCCCAGTTCCCCTCACAAAAAAACATTTTCTCATGTGGAATGAAACCAGCATACTGCTAAAGCCATGTGAGTCAACAGGACTTACTCTGCTCACTCTCTGATGAAAACATACCACTATCCGCTCGCCGGGATATTGGTCCGTCGCGCACAGCACAGCTGCCGCCGCTATTGCAGAAGGCGGGTAGTCGAGGAATTCTATCACTAGTAAAAACAAAAAAAAAAGTAAAAAAAAAAAAAAAAAAAAAAAAAAAAAAAAAAAAAAAAAAAAAAAATTTGAAGAGAAAGTGAAAGTTGGGAAGATATCATTATTTACAATGTAATAGGTTATAATTACCTTGACATGTTAGTACAATGATATCTGATGATTGGGAAATGACATGATTGTAATGTTGGCAATGGATCAACCCAAAACATGAAAGCTTGTGAACAAAGTAATGAAGAAAATCGAAGGGTGTTGTTTTGCGCAATCTCCATTTGAGAATGGTCATAACCATTAGCTCCATTCTCTGAATAGTTTTCGGCTTAAATAAGAATTTGGGTTCCTTCATCTGCAAATCCAATAGAAGTGGGACACTTATTTCCTCCATTTTTGCAGCTAGAGAAAGGCAAGCAACTGATAACAACTGAAAATGCCATCCTTTCCCTTTCTGCATTAACCAAAAAAAAGAGCCAATTACAATAACAGAACCATATTATAAATAAGAATTTTTTTTTTTTTTTTTTTTTTAAATGCTAGTTAACACCTTACCTGTAATGTCCTTGATAGAAGAAAATGGTCCAAATAGTTAACAGAAAGATAAGCAGTTTCAGGCCTAAAGTGATAGAAACCATGCACCTGCAAGGTTCAAAATAAATCAAGACAAAAATAAATATATATATATGTGTGTGTGTGTGTGTATTATTTGTTCACCTTTAACATCCAGTTGACTGCCTCTAGGCGATCAGAAGCAACCCCAGAATTGTTTATGAACCGTTGGATCAAATCAGAATCGAGAACCTTATCAATCTCGGAATTAAATGCACTAACAATAGAACTCTCCTCGTCGGGGCGAGAATCCGAATCGGCGTAAAGAATGTGGTCAAAAGTAAC